CCTCTATGACATTAGTCTTAGATGTAGAATCTAGTTATCTAGATTTCTAGATCTAATCTAGATCTAGATCTAGATCTATATCTAGATCTAGTCTAAATGACAGACAAGTTATTATTATTATTATTATTGTTATTATTATTATTAGTATTATTATTATTATGATTATGATTATGATTATGATTATGATTATGATTATGATTATTATTATTATTATTATTATTATTATTAGTATTATTATTATTATGATTATGATTATGATTATGATTATGATTATGATTATGATTATGATTATGATTATTATTATTATTATTATTATTATTATTATTATTATTATTGTTATTATTATTATTATATCGGTACGACAAAGTCTCTTCCTGGTTGTTCATTAGCCTAGTGAGCAACACCCTACGCGTGCTTCTTCAAGCACTGCCTCTTATGATTTCCTTTTCTCCTTGAAATTCTCGTCCGTGTTCTGAGAAATCATTTTTTCACCGTTTCTTGCTTCTTTTCACTCTCTTGAGTAATTGTCCAGCGTGCATAATTTGTACAGAAGGGTTGACCCCCTTTCAAAACCTTTGAAAACTATTATTATTTTGGTTGTTATGCTACTATTTGTCAGGATTGGACTAATTCCACTGAAGCTGTCTTTAGTTTCTATTGCAGTTCTTTTTTTTTTTTATTTCTGTGGTACGTTCGGCATCGGGTGTAATTTTACATAATGGGCCTAATATAGCCTATATAAAATGTTGAACTTGTTTGATCTTTTAACTTTTGCTTATGATTATGAGTTTACATGTAGAAAGTACTGCTGTTTTAAAAAAATATTACACTACAATATGTTTACTTTAAACTTGATAATATTCTATTTTCACCACATCTAAAAGTAATAGAAGTTTCTTTTCTGAACCTGCAATTAAAACTGTCATCAGCATGCATATGTACATAATATGGATATTATACAGAGAGAGAAAAAATGAGGATTTTGTATACATATTATATATATACAAA